TATCCTCCACTTAATTACTGTACACTGACCGTGGTCCAGCCAGGACCTCAAGTCTCTGTTTCTATATGAACAGAATAAAGATATAATTAGTCCAGTCAGTCTCACTGGAGTCTGTAGGTATGTTGCACCTCTGAGGCCCTCCAGGTTGAGTAATCCATCTATAAGGTTGTAAAAAAATGCACCATCAAGTTCCCCCAAGAAAAGGTTGCATTCAGAAGAATAAACCATGATCTCAACTGAGAGGATCAGAGCTGAGGCAAGAGAAATCATAAGAAAGTAATAGTCTGGATCTAGGTCTGTATGACTGAACAACTATTATATTTAAGCTTTTAACATCTTTGAAGAGGATGCCTGTTACTTGGGAGGTGTTATGCGTTAAATGTGTCCTCCAAAAGTTTGCATATCGGAAACTCAACCCCCATTGTCAGAGTGTTGAGAGTGGGAAATCCAATTATGGTATTTGAAAGGCGGGGCCTTAGAGAGGTGATTAGACAGTTATGACGCTGCCCTTGTGAACAGACTGATCCATCATTCATGGAGTAACTGGCATGGTTCTGATGGCTTTATAAGGAGAAGGGGTAAGCAAGTTAGTTCTCTCTTGCTTAGCCCATTCTCACTGTACCCTGCATTGCTGTAGAGAGCCACCACCAAGGAAACCCTCACCAAGTGTATTATCTGTACCTTGGACTTCCAAACCTCCAAACTGTAAGAAATAAATTTTATTTCTTTATATTTCTGTATAAATTGCCCTGTTTGGGGTGTTCTAAGCAGCAGAAGTGGAGTAACACAGGAAGGGGCATATTTCATCTGTAAAAGCAGGAAACAGTCTCTAAGGAACCATTGTGACCACTGCAGGCAGGTGGGGCCCTACGGTAAAGTCTAATCACTGTAGCAACTATTTTTTACTGTGAAGGTAGGTGTATCAGTCTGTTTAAGCTGTATAAATTGTTACCATTATATTCTTGTCCCTTTTCTGATTCTAGAATTGCCAAGGACTACAAAATTAGGATTTAGCTCTCTAAAATGTAACCTCCAAAAGATTATGCCAGACATAGGTAACATGAGCATATGTTCTTAAACTTGGATTAGTTCGAATTAGTATCTCCAGTGTGCAACCAATAACGGGACCCAGTACATTGTAATTTCTGAGTTTGAAGGAAATTCCCAGTCCTAGGGAATTTCACAGAGTGACGCTTATGGCCAGAAGCATCTCCTGATAATGCTCATGTCTCAGAGTAAATTCTATGCTGCAAGTACTATTAGCAAAGCCAGTTCCTTTGGGGATTGACTTTGGGTTCCTCTGGGAGAATCAGATATTCAAATTAATGTTTCTGACTTTCTCTTGATAAATAAATTAATTTGTAGCAGGGGGGGGTTAAAAAACATTCCAATTATCTAATACCATCTAACACATCTCATGGGTCCAGGGAGTTTTTCTTTCATAGACTTTGAGGCAAACTGTTCCTATGTGTCCACCTCTACCATCTCTATTGTCAGTGCCTGAATGTCCCCTTCCCAAGCACCAGATGACAGCCCTTCCCAGTCCAGTTACAACCTTGTTACCCCTCTCCTCACTGTCCACTGTGTTCTTCAGCACAGTGTTCTTCAGCACTTTATCTTTTCTGAGGAGCTGACATCTTTTGAATATTTTACATTGTAC